TGCGCTCAACGATATTTTTTCCGCCCTAAATATTTCACGGAGAGGCCTGCACACCAAGACATATCAGGATTATGTGAAATTGAAAATGAACTCTGCCGCACAGAAGGCTGCCGTGCGCGTTATTGACGACTGCGTGAGCACCGTGAAAACGGTGTATTCTGAACTCAACTATGGAAATCCTGGAAATATTGCCGTTTCCTTTGATGGGACTTGGCTGACCAGAGGCCACTCATCCCATATTTGTGTAGGGACCGTGATTGAACTATTCACGGGTTATGTGCTCGACTTCGTCGTCCTATCGAACTTTTGTTTGGGCTGCCAGCTAGGGCCGAAGGAGGAAAACCCAAGGTATGCAGAGTGGCTAGCTGGTCACACTTGCCAAAAGAATACCTCCAGTAAGCCAGGGCAAATGGAGGTGGAAGCAGCACAAATTTTATTTGGCCGCTCATTGGAGAGACATGGGCTCCGCTACACAACCATGTTGTGTGATGGAGACAGCCGGGCCTTCAACAGTCTGCAGGAGGCACAGGTATATCGCTTCGTGCCAATAGAAAAAGAGGACTGTGTCAACCATGTGCATAAGCGCATGGGCACAGCACTTCAAAACCTCCTGCAAAAACAAAGAGCCGAAGGAAAGCCAAGCCTTGGCGGCAAGGGCAAACTGACAGGTGAGCTGGTCACAAAGCTCACGTCATATTATGGATGGGCTTTACAAAGCAACCAAGGAAGCATTGAAGCCATGAATAATGCTGTCTGGGCAACCTTTTATCAAGTAGCATCTACTGATGCAAGCCCTCAGCACTCTCACTGCCCAACTGGTGAAGAGTCATTGTGCAAGTACAACAAGGCTGTTGCCAAGCAGGAGACTCCTCCGAATCATCGCTACAACCTGTCGGAGTATGTGGTTGATGCCTTGCGGCCTATTTACACGCGCCTCTCTGACAAGAAATTGCTGTAGCGTTGTCAGCGAGGCAAAACACAGAACCCAAACGATAGCCTGCACTCCGTCATCTGGTCGCTCGTGTCCAAAAACAAACACCCGTCGCTTTTCACCGTTGAAGCTGCTGTGGCCGAAGCTGTCGCAAGGTTAAACGCTGGCAAAGGGAGAGCAGATGCCACCATATTGAAGGAGCTGCACCTGCAGCAGAGTGTTGTGGCCGCTGAAACGTGCTCAGAAAAGGACAGTCGCCGACTAGTGGCATCGGAGAAGAAGCATGAGCATGCTGAAAACTTCAAGCATGCCATGAAAAGAAAGCGCACCAAGGAGAATGATGATGACTACATTCCTGGTGGCTTCTAACATGGTTAATACACCGATTCACACCTTTTCTTGTTAAATATAAGTGCTCAGCATGTTTCTAAACTTCTTTTCTCGTTTTCTCAAAACATTTTTCATCACACCCTAAGCCATTGCCCCCAGTATCTTTTGATGTAGCAGTCGGATTTTAATAATTCTTGCAGCATTTGAAAGCTTATACATTGATTAGTGCAAGAAAACCAAGAAAATGTAATACTTTTATTTACAATAGTGATTTAATTAGCAACAAACTTAAAGCAACTGTTTCAGATTTCTAATGAGTATACTTGTTAAGGCCATAACTCTGGTACCAATTAAGCTAAAAATAAAATTATGGTTTTGTTGCACTCCCTGGCCTTCATGGAATGCTGTCATATCAAATTTGTAGCAATATTTTATGAGGGAGATGTCAAAAGGCTGGGCAGAATGCAAGTTTACGTAACAGTCAATATTTAAAAATCTAAAAGTGATAGCAAAAAACTAATTGCATATTTGTTTTCAGCTGTGAAAAATACATATTGCATTAAAAATTCAGCTGGAAATACTAAAAATTTAAAAAAACAAAATTTCAGACCAGTGTCTCCGCTTAGGTGTGCAGGGCAGAATGCTGACAATCATCGAAAGCTACTTGTCCGACCGGACATTCAGTCTCCGAATAGGCACTGTTTTATCTCGAATATTTGTCCTAGAAACAGGAGTGTCACGAGGAGGTGTATTGAGTTGCACACTTTTCGTAGTCAAAATGAATTCCTTGGGCTTGTCTCTCCCATGCAATATGTTTTACTGCTCATATGTCGATGATGTACAGGTTGGCTTCAAATCGTGCAACCTTTCAATGTGCAAACGTCAGGTTCAACTAGGGTTGAACAAGGTTTTGAAATGGGCAGATGAGAATTGGTCATGAACTCAACACGCAAAAAAGCGCTTGCGTGTTTCTTGTGTGTTGTTCTGCTAAAGAAGGGGCCTCCATCCCGACCCCAACATTAACCTGCATGGCCAATGTCTGTCTGTGAAGGTCGAGCATAAGTTCCTGGGGATAATATAGACGCAAAACTAACCATCATACCCCACATCAAGTATCTAAAGAATAGTTGCTTAAAAACCTTGAATATGTATTTTGAAAGCGTTGTCACACACTACGTGGGGTAGTGATAGGAAATGTCTGCTCGCTTTAAACTGGCTCCGCATTAGCCCTTTTTCTAAGGCTAACTGCATAGCCTGCACTTGGAGCAATTCTGTCGTCACGGGCCGCTGTGCCGCTCACTGTTCAATCACATACTCGCCGAGCAGCTCTTCAATTTGCGGAAACCGACCCTGCTGTGGTCCAATGAAGCCTTTGCGTGAATCTTTGCAGTCGACAATCTTCTGCTTTTGTTTCCGCCAGTCCCGCACACTACGTTTCGGCAACTCCGAACGACCGCGATGCGGCCCGATTTATGTCCGTTTCGGCACACGCGATGACTTTTCTTTTAAAAGCGGCATCGTGGTGCCCTCGTCGAGTTTTTGGAGTCGGCCCTTCCATGTCGTCGATGCTAATGCACTACATGATGGACGAACTCCTCAGCACACGTACGAAGTGCCGCACATGGGAAACACATAGGCAGAAATGGCCGACACGCCATGCCGACGCACGTAGGGGGCAGCCATTTTGGAATTGCCGATGGCAATGGAATGACCGTATTCATTTTTTTGTTCGCACTCGATTCTAACGTGCATGCGATTTATGAACTCGCTTAACCAGAAAAAAGCTGCGCATTATATTCGAGTAATTACGGTACATGTCTTCTGTGTGCTCTCTCAAGGTTAATGCAGACGAAGAACATCACACTCGCTCAGCAATTAATGAGTTGTCCAGTTCTGCCCTGTTCGATAACCGTCCTTCGCTGAGGCAGCCCTACTCACTTTGTGTGAGAAGCCTTGCTGAGGAAGCAGGCGTGCCACTTTTAGAACACCGTTTGATGGCTCCCGCAAGATATCCATCACTATGGCAGTGGCAAGTTGTAGACTGCGATCTATCCTTCATGGACCTCAATAAACACACACCTACTGCACATATCCGCACATACTTCTTCGAACTACAACACAGACAATTGCCCAGAATTTTCCACAGATACTTCAAAGTCTCACACTGGTGTGTTCTATGCAACTGTTGGTTCATCCTTTTTTAATTCTGTTATTTTGCGCTCTGAAACAAGCATATTTACCGCAGAAGCTCACACAGTATCTGTGGCCATCAAGCATATTAAGGAACTGCCACTACAACGCGTGGTAATATACACAGATTTGCTGAGCGTAGTAACAGCTCTGAAAACAGTTAGAAAACATAAAAATCCTGTCTTTGTGTCGCTTTACTCTCTAATATGCAAGATATATGCTCTCAAACGACGTATTGTAGCGTGCTGGGTGCCAGGGCACCGCGAAATAGCTGGAAATGTGTTGGCGGATCAGCTAGCTGCATCCGCTCAAGACAACGCTGCGGCCAATACATCCTTAGCTGTCCCTGCACTTGATCTGAAGCCTTTTTTATGACGGGAGCTCGGGGCATGGTGGCAGTGCCTTTGGGATAGGCAAACACAAAATAAACATGTTATTAAGCTGGAACTTAACCGGTAGTATCCAGATCACGCTACACACAAGTAACACTTACTAGGCTACAGTTAGGACGCACACACTCAACACATTCAAACCTTTTGTCTGGTGGCGACCAACCCATCTGTGTGGAGATCCACATACTAGTTGAGTGTAGTGATTTAGATAAGAAAAAAGCACTTTTTGTTGCCCTACCAACAGCAGCTCCCACTACATGCTCATCAGTAGGGATCTCCTTTTTAAACTTCAATCACTTTTTACGTTTTTAAGAGATGCACATAGTTTTCACCCCATATTCTGCGGTGATCCATAGCTCTGTACGGAGGTCTGGCTGTCATTTATTCCACGTGTTTCAAGTCACCACGATGATTTTAATACTTTTGAGTTTTAACCCGCTTTACGGTATGGACTTTTAGGCCCTTTTACAGCCGCGCAACATCATCGTTTCAATGACAGACTATTGCTCTTCCTTTAGTCTATGTTTACGGCGCTCTTTGGCCAAGAATGGCGCTTACGTAATAAAAACTCACTCATCATCATCGTCACACTGCCTGCCGAATCAGAGTTTGAAAGGCAGCTTTGCCGCAGTGCAAGTGCTTTGGGAATAAAACCGATAAAATCGGAAAGGGCTTTTGCAAGTTGACTCTTTGGCTTCGAGGAGTTTGAATACTTTGAATAGTCCGAATTTTAGTGTGAATCAAATCGAATAGCTAGCATTATTCAAAAGACATTTGAAAGGTCAAATATTTGCTCACCCTTAAAATCCACTTATGCTGCGTAGCACTAACTTTTGGTGTGACAGTGTCACTAATAGAAGTAAGGGCAAGCTTGCCGCAGTTATGGGAACAGAGGGAACCAGTTTTTTGTAGCATCCTGTCATGCAGGGTACTGAAACCAAAATTAAATAGAAAACGAGTGTCATGCAAAATGATTACGCTGCTTCCACCCCATCTTTATATTCAGGGGGTTTTGGTCTCCAATTACCAAAACAAATATTGAATTTGATAACTTGGTCTCACTATTCCTTGGCAATTTGATAATGGTGTGTGTTTCTTGACACTGTGCATGTAATAGTGTTCCTTCTCATTTCGTTTTTTTTTTTTTTTTGTGACAGTTGAAACTACTCAACTTGTATATTCAACGAGCGCAAGGCAACAGCAGCGGAAGCACACCTGGCTCCCCTTCAAACACTGCATCATCTTCGTCCAGTAACCCTTGAACTGGAAGTACTGTGCGAGCAGCAAGCTAAAAAAAATGAATGAATGAATGCTTCTGCATAGGCTGTCACCATTGAAGCTGCTTATCGCCAGTAACTGTGGCCCCATGCCAAGCTTTAGCTGTTGCAGCAACTCTAAGATGAACTTAGTCGAGACGTTCTATACGTTGATGTTTTTTTTTTTTTTTTTTCAACTGTGGCACTACAGCAAGCGATTACTGCGAAAAGAATGTCTTCAGGTTTTTCATTGCAAAAGGGAGCAGTGCTCTCCCTTCAGGTGAACGAGTTGGTTGCTTTCAGGGACTCATTTTTTAATGACTTGTGCATTTGTACGATGTGTTTAAAATTACTTTCATCAAGAGTCTTTCTGGCAGTGCAGATTAGTTGTGCAGGCAAGTTGCTGCAGTGTGAGATTCAGGGCAAGGCATGCTCTCAACTTATGAAAGGCTCTTGCATACAAAATGTGGTTCCGGCCAGTTGGACTTAACGCTCATTCACGAAACACACGACGCAAGTGAGCAACACGAGGGATGCTGCTACACCTGCTTAAATTCTGTTAAGCGAGCTTTTGTCGTGCTAAACTGCCATAGTGCAGGGGCTGAAATAATGTTGTGTTCATGCTGATCATATGTTTACAGCCTAACCCCGCGACAACGAAACTCATGGGGTGCAAAAAATATTTTGTTGAAGCGAGAATTTCGTTGTAGTGAAATCGAAAAAAATATGGCTGATCTGACCTAGCTAAACAAAGGAATGTTTGTTTTTAAAATTTAAAAAGTGTCCTCTGCTTCCTATTCTTTTCCAGCAGCGTCACGGCGCAATTCATAGTCATGCATAGCGAGGCCATGGTGAAAACCGCTGAAGTAATGCCTACAACTGCATTCGTAAACGTACCAAACAGTAGCATTAACCCGTTAACACCAGCAGTCATCTGCCGTCAAAGTGTATCCAACAACGCCAAGATAGAGGCATGGTATCGTGGAGCGATGACTTTTGCCTTATTCTATGCCATTTTTATCATCCAAATCTCAGGGCTGGCTGATTTGGTTGATAATGCAGAACAGCTGCTCTGATTAGGTACCACACTGGCCAAGCCTGGAGAATATGATAAGCATTGGAATTGGAAAAGGCATCGCTTCGTGGTTGGGTGCAGCAGCTGCGTGAAGGAAACCATGAACTGAGCGACTGAGCTTCAGCTTTGGATCGTCTGTGGCTTGAAAACAAGCCAGTGGCAAAAGCAGGGCCATCCTTCATGAACAGGGCATTCTCATTGTCATCGGTATCTCGCAATGGCGGCATTCATGCTTGCTGAACAGCGGCAGTTTTTGGTGGTGGCAACGTGTGTTTTAGACTTTGTCAACGTATCTTCAGGTTCTCAAAATGCATCAAAGTCTTAAAGGTTGGGTTTCTTGTATAGGAATAAATATCTGAGCCTGGAATTGCATCGTGAAATTTCGATGAAGCGGGACGGCTGAAGGAAAAGTGTTCGTTGCGGCGACAATATTTATACATTGACTCCTATGGTCTGCTGACGGGGAACCACGAATTTTTCGTTGTAGCGGAAATTTCGTTGAAGCGGCGTTCGTTGTAGCGGGGTTCGACTGTACTACAAGTAAGTAGCCTGCTGTGCCAGGCATCTTCCTAGCACATTATTTCTTGTCACACGTAAAATTGTTAGCTCGTGTGCTGTCCTCTTTATCATGGTAGTGCTACAAGGGAATTGTGTGGCTGCCACTGTGTAGTGTTCTAGTTCTGTGGCTGAATGCTGGTATTCAGTCTACAGGATGCCCCAGGCAACATGGACAGTGCTGTAAATTTGCTCGCATGTATGCGACTTATTCAGCTTATTTTCTTTCTTGTGTTTGAACACGAGAGTACGCCTTTCTGCAGCTAGTTCTTTTTTTCATAAGCGTTGTTCATGCTGTGTGGGCACCCTGTAAATATATATATGTACACAGGTGGGGTAAATGTGCAGTGATTAGGAATGTTGGGCCATCTAACTTGCTGCTTTGCTGGTGTCGAAATAGAAACATTGCCAAATCTCTCGTAATGTTGCTTCGGTAATTGTATACTAGTTGTCTTTTTTTTCCTTGTTGCTGCCAGTGGACATCAAGGGGCAGGTGAAAGAGTGGCTTGTGTGTGTGATTGTGCGGAGTGTTTTTTACAAAAAATGAGTTTGGCACCTTGCCACTCTGCTGTAGCCCTTTGCCTTTTTTGTGTGTGTGTCGAGTGCTCGAAGATGCTCTAATAAAAAAAATAGGCAAAAAAGTTTGCTCTCATATATGAAGGGCGCCACTTTAGCGTGCATTTAGCAAGGTTGCATCTGTTAAAGGAAATAACATTTGTAATTGAGGACAATTGCTGCTGGCAGTTTCATCTTGTGTAACTTGCACAATGCTGCTTAAGGAAATTTGTAGATGCTAGAGTGAACTATTTATATATTGTAGTGCCGCATGCTTGTTTACAGGATCAAATAGAAAAGCCTTTCATTTGCAAAGGTATTACTACTTGTATAGTGTACATTCCCATACAAATCCATGCTTTCTTTTTTTTACCACTTCACTATCTGCAACAAAGGCACGTCCTAACATCTGTTCCCCCATTAAGTAAAACCCTTATGCTTTTAAGATTTTATTCTGAAACGACAAGTCAGGAATAAACATTTTTACTGTCTTGATTTGCTTGTCTGATATGGTGGTCCTTTTCCTTGCTTTGCATTCAATTGTTTTCTTTTGGGGGGGTATGTGTTTGTTATAAATCCAATAAAAATTGTTTTACACAAAGTTAAATGCAAGCTAAGGACATGGCATAACTAGTGCATCTGAGCATCATTGCATAGATATGTTCTTTGGCACAATGACCTAAAGTTTGCAAATCGGAAGTGCAGGATATTCTCACTTCGAGTGTACTGTTGTGTTCCGTACTCTTAAACCTCATTGCTCTTATCACTTTACCGTGATAGAAAATAGATCATATATAAAGCTGGGCCCCGCCACGGCGGTCTAGTGGCTAAGGCACTGATCCGCAGGAGCAAATTTTCCATGGAGGAGAAAATGCTTGAGGCCCATGTGCTTATTGAAAAATCCCAGGTGGTCTAAATTTTCGTAGCCCTCCACTACAAAGTACGGTGTTTATGGGACATTAAACCCCCAATGATTATTATTAAAGTTGTATGCCAACAAGACTCTATGAGAGTATGCTTATGCTGCACTTCCTGTCAGCATTAGAGCACTAATTGGATCTGCAGTTCGTTACAGAATATCACAACTTGCTATGCATGTAGCACGATGGAGCTCCAGGTCTGCCTCCAGGCTCTGTACACATTTTTAAACTAAAAGTAGCTCCCCGTTATATAAAAGTTCATTGCTTTAAAAAAAGTGGCCCAGATGCCACGTTTCGATATGAATCGATTGACCTTGATGAACATTTCGCATAGTAATTATTACCGTGGGATGCATCAATAAATGATTGAGCATAGGTTAACTGCAGAAAATCTTGTTTTGTAGGAGTTCAACATTCCATGACATTCTAATCGTGCGCAGCATGCGGTCACCTCGCTACGCCCATGCCATTGTCGCATGTTGACCTTTGGGCAGATAAGAGGGTCACGATTTGGACCAGTTTGTATGACGCTGCACCCTAAATTATTCCTAAAGTATGTTTAAATTTGCAATGCGGGCAGTGTCCGCTCACCACATTTAAAGTGTCCGAGGCTCTCCGAGGCTATGCTGCCTTCAGAGCCGCGTCGTATGCATCGCTTGCCAAGCATCATTTTTACAATTCTATAAGTACAAGTTGTGGTTGTGGTCGCTATCTGAAAAATACTGTAAAACAACGCTTTAGTAAAAGCACAGATTTTGGAGGTCATATTTCTGGTCATGTAACGTAGCAAAAGTGATTGCAGGAGCCCAAACACGTCATAAGCAAGTTCTGTACACGTCATCTAATAACTCACTGCCACAAAAGTATTGTTCATAGTCCAATCTGTAAAGTGTCAGTGTAATATCGGTTTAAAACAAAACGGGCCGATTTTTTTTTCTCAGTGGATATTTTGCTGACTGCAAGGTTGTCAGCATGAAAGAAAGAATATACTCCATGATTGAATGGGAATCCAAGCAATTCCTCTTCTTATTGAAGCAAATTTTGCCCCTGAAAATTGTAATGCTCATTTTTTGTGAATTGATTACTTCAGGTGCCTAATCATGACTTGATAATAGCTATCAGATGCAGTGTTGCAGAAGAGCACTTCCTCACACGATTCTGCTTCAGCATATTCCCTATCACGTATAAATACTGGCCCTCGAAATTCGCGGTTGCTATTAGTATCTATGGTTTCCTTTCATGCTTTAATGCTGCTGGTTTAGACAAGTGTGCAGGAATATTCGGGAAAATTCGAGGAAGCGCACCGGCTTAGGTGACCACATACCACATGAAAGTTTCACACGTTTTCCCTTACGATGTGCTCGCAGCTAGTGGTTAGGTCCTTGGATTCGAAAAGTAGGTCGGAAATGTATGTCTCGACTGTCACCAGGAAGGCTTTTTCTGGAATAGCAGCTGTTCAGGTCCTGAGAACTGCAGGGTAATTTTGAGGGTTTGAAGAAGTGCCGCCGACCGCAAGTGTTTTCCTCAGAGGCATGGCCACTTCGACAGCCCGGTGCGCCGCAGGCCAGTATGTTTACTATATTAAACTGCTAATTCAATGAATCATGCTTGATTGTTTATCTTCAAGCTCCCGCCACTTCAGTCTGAGCAAGAGAGCTAAAAAAAAAAAAAAAAACTCTGCCGACTATGGCGGCTCAATCTCAACGCTACGCCAGCGCCGCTCCTCGAAGAGGATACGAATTGGGGCCGCCTCCAAAAGCGAGCTTTTTCCAACTGACAGTACCTAAAGGCTTTGGTGCGTAGGCTCTGCACTGTGCAGTGCCATGGCGAAATTCCAGAATAGTTCAGCGCATTCACACGGGCTATATGCCATCATTAAAAGTGAGCACAGCATCAAGAGTGCATAGTAACAGTGTTGGGTGCCCCAGGAAAACGTCTTTTCAAAGCGCGCTCCCACGCGACAATGCGACGACTCATTAGAGTTTTGAGTTTTCCCGTGGAGGCTTTTAGCAAGTTATTCTGGATTAGCTAGTTCCAGATATTTAGGCTTAACAGTCTCTGGAAGGTGTTCTGTATGAACGAATGGTACACCATTCAATTGGGCTTTGTTGAATAAACACAAAGTTTCAGAGTCTTTCGAGCAAAGGCCGTGGAATTGATAGGTATCCTTTGATGCCATGTGAACATATGTAGGACCAGACAGCGTTTAGCATGTCCTCCAAATTGGCTCCATTTCTTTTAATGGTCTAATAGTCTAGGTGCCTGCCAATGATGACCAGACTAAGATGGCCCCGACCAGATACAAGTTTCCCGACAGAAAGCTTATGCCTCTGCTTTCTTTTGTTTTCGTAATTCTGGGCCCATTCTTTTCTGAACGTGTCAAATGCACTGCAGCTTGCAAACTGTAACTTCTCCATATGGCTATGATGCTTGAACTGCAAGGAATCCCTTGCTACATAAGAATGGGGGCATGGCAAGCTACGGCACACATTATGAAACATGTCATTTTTAGAGGAAAAAAAATTGACTGAAAAACTGACCTTGAACAAACAAATGATTGATTCTGGTTCAGAAAAGGCTGCAGGTGTCAAATAATGCAAAAATAATAAATTTATTATCATTTTTTTTTCAATATTGTTGCTCACTTGTCCCTTTAACCTAGCAGACGACCTACACGGTGCGTGCTTATGCTGTTTGTGATTACTTTTATTTGCTCGAACTTCGTCGGTACAATGTGGCTTCCTGTGTAGCTGCGCTGGGGCCCTTGGACATAAGGGATCAAAACATTGTCCGACGAGTCGATCATCATCGGCACTGTTAAGTACCAGTTGGTGAGAACCGATCATTGACCACAGGTGGGCGGCAACGAATATGAATGACTAGAAAAATATATATCTGAAATGCAGGAAAAGTATGCAGGCCACAATCTTTATAGCAGTACTCCCAAATGCAAGCACAAAGGGGTGCAGCCCCACAATGTCTGCTACATAAAACTTCACGCATGTGCTGCACACAAGCAGTCCCATTAAATTAATGAATTAACAAATATATAAATAACACAGCAAGTTGAACAAAATACTGCATGGTCACATTTCAAAGTGTTATAATACCGCTGTCACAGGGGCAGCCGCGAACACTGTTCAACTCCCTCGTCCTTGTGACAAAAGAGATTGGGTCCATGTCACACGGCCACCCTTGCGCAAACCAAGTTAACGGAGCATTTTGCAAAGGAAGTGCGGCGATCTTTGCAGCAGAACGATGTACTCTCGTCCGCTGGGCAGAAAAAATTTCGAGCTGTATATTGCCGCAGTGAAAACAATAATACATTTTGGCATTATTAAACGTTCTTTTGTTGCAGTACTCATTCATAACGTGTATTTCTTTATATATACGCCTGCCAGAGTGCAGCTACTCTCCACACCGATGCCCTTCATAACGTGCCTCAGAAGTCGTGAGAAGGGCTTGACTCGCGAGGCATGGTAGATCAGAGTGGAGAGCAGCAGCACTGTAAAGAAAGGCACGTTACGAGTGAGTGCTGCAACAAAAGAACGTTTAATAATGCCAAAATGTATTATTGTTTTCACTGCGGCAATAGACAGCTCGAAATTTTTTCTGCCCTGCGGACGAAAGTACATCGTTCCGCTGCAAAGAGAGATCGCTGAACTTCCTTTACGAAATGCTTCGTTCACCTTTGTTTGTGTGAGGGTGGCCACGTGACATGAACCACATCTTCCTTGTAAGGACGAGGGGATAAATGGGGTTTGAGGGCGCCTACGTGACAGGGGTATTATAATATATGTACAAAATTTTTTAAAATGTTGTTGACCAGAGTAGTTTGAAACAGCTGGGTATAAGCAATATAATTACAAAACAAGCAGGACATAATTTGGCTTTTTAATGTATACTTGCACATAAAGAAAAAGGCATGCAATGACAAGAACGATTCTCTATGATCTTGCATATATCATTACATACCGATTACGTATATTACACTACAGTGTATGTATCATTTTGCACATGAAATGTCAATAATAGAGTTGAAGAGTGCATGTAATCACTAAATGCACAAGTTTTAAAGGGGTACTTTAGTGAAACAATACATTTGTTTAGACTGAAAACTTATCCTATATGCAAATGGTGATGGCATGGATTTTAAAGTGCTTGCTTTATATTTTGGCCATATTGTCTCATTGAAGTTTACTCAAACTTGGTATGTTAATACTCTAGCCCCGTCAGAGGACAATTTACTCCATTGATAATTATTATAAATAACTATTCTGTAGATGTCGTCAAAATCAACGTTACCACAACAACTGGCGTAGCAACATGGCATCGCCATCCGCATTTTCATTTCGTGCATTTTCTCACTTGTCAAATGCCTTCTCGCAGCAAGCATGGCATTTTTGGTATCATGAAAGAGAATTTTATAAATACAAGAAACTCATTTCTGTAGTGCTCCTTTAAAACCACAAACTTTTAACATAAATATTTCATTTTAATTGGGTCATTCTACATAGCTACACAGTTCAAAGACATCAAAGGTATATAATAAGCAATATGCCTCAACATTGATCT